AACCAGGACCTTGTTGAGTGCAATTCCAAAGACTAACCATCTTTTCTGGTCGTCTGTAACACCGTGTAAAGTGTTCCTGAAAAACAGTTCCAAGAATTTAATTTTACAGCTTATTTAAAAGTACTATTCACAGCAGTAGTTGAAAACAAAAACTTAAAAACTGCTGGGGAAATATGCAATTGGGATCTTCTTGATTCGTTACATCTTTGCTAATTAAGGACCTGATTCATAGCTTAAATTGTCTCAATTTTAAAAGCAGTTGTAATAGCTATTTTAAACATGCACATGAGAACAAAAGTACAAAACAGGCGAGAAGGACACACCTAAATCTACTCAAATAACTAAAAAATAGGGAGAACCAGTTTTGAATCAGAGTCCCGCAATTATATGTGGATTTTTATTGTTTTATTACCACTATATTGATAATTGAAATACAATAACCAGCTATTAATCAGTCAACTGTCACATCCCTGGTAAAAGAAAGAAACAAAGACGTACTATTCCATATTGTGTGGGTGGGTGCGTGTGTGTGGAGGGGGGGTACTGCAGTAGATTTCCAACAGACCAACAATCCCAAGAAGCTCCAAGGAGTCTAAGCACTAAGGATTTGAATTCAGAAGCCACACTAGAGTAGTTAAAAGTCTGTGTTGGAGCCTGGTGGCCCATCACACCAGTCCTTATCTCCGGTTTTCTCAGCATGAAGGGACTAGGACAATGTCTACTCCCTCAACAGCAAGGCTTCAACTCCCTACAAAGTCCCTTGTATAGAGTTGTATGGTCTCAAAAGCCAGGCAATATTATGACAACCACTGCATCGTTCACAACAGCTGAGTAAATTTGAGCTGCAAATTTGAACTCAGCTCAAATTTGCAAGCTTGCTGGCAGTCATCAGCTGGAACAGATTGTGATGCTGGCATTAAATGTCCTCATATGGTGTGACAGTGTCCTGAGGGTCATGCTGGCAGCTTAATGCCTCAGGCATGTCAGCAGCATATACAGATCAGCCTTGGAAGAAATGGGCAGTGGCAGAAACTGGAGAGAAATAATTTAGTGAAGCCTGCCAGAATCCCACCTTACAAGATTATTGGAACTGTCCACCATGATCATTGAGGGTTTGCCTGCCATTAAGGAGCACTTAGGTGTATGAGGATAGCGAGAGTTGTAGACATGATATGTATGGTAACTACCAAGCTAAGGAAGATGGGGTAAGTTCAAGTGGGACAAGCCTCAGTAGAGTGTGCACCCTGGTGAAAATCCTTTTAAAATTCTATAGGATCCTATGAACCGTACAACATCCAGTCAGGATCCTGTACAATCCTATACAACAAGAACATGAAGGACCTTATATACTCAAAAATCTTTGGGGATCTCAATGAATGTCCCCAAAGATCAGCTAGAGCCTCGACATCAAGATGTACAAAGATCCTAGCATAGATCTTCAATTATCTCTAAAAGATTTTTACCTGGGAGGGACACTTGCAAAGCAGCAGTTGAGGAAAGGCATGTTAAGTGGTCAGCACTTGTGTCCATGGAACCCCTAAAAAA